CGGAGTCCTGACTGCTCGGATCTCCGTTCTCTGTTCTTGCCGTTCGGTTACCCATTGTTGCCATAAATCCAGGAAGGCCAAACACATGATCCCCATGTAAATGAGATATAAATATACGAGTCAAACGGCTGACTTTGGCTTCAGGAAACTTTTGAACCTGAATCTGGGTGCCCTCTCCACAGTCAAATAACCACTGTACACCGTTGACTGTATTCCGAAGAATAAGTCCGGATGCACCGCGTTGAGGCGATGGATAGGCAGACCCGGTGCCCAGAAAAAGGATATCCTGTAATAGTTGAGAATAATTCCGGTGTAAACGGACAGAACTGCATTGATAAACAGAAAAAGATTTTTGGACACTGGTATGGGCGACCTGCAGGGCGACTTGCTGGTATGGGCGACCTCCAGGAAATGACGAACTAAGACAGCTTGTTGAAGACACTGTCTTACGAAGCAATCCGCAGAGGCTGTGGATTTCTCAGAGGTCAATCAAATCGCAGAAATGTGATGTCGGGAGTATCATGAGAAACTCTAAAACGGGTGCGTGCTGCCATCACAAACATCATCTCAAATTGTCAAGCAGCCTAAGTCCTTAATGAGAACAGGCCGTCTCAGATGATGAGTGGCTTCTCACTGCCACTAACGTCGAATTCTTACTGACGTACCACTCATGCACACGACCACTAGTGAGACATGGGCTCCTGTGAAAGACGGCTTTTCTATACAAGACGTCCAAATCGAACAAACACACCTGCGGCTAACCATAGTTTAACAAACATAAACGGAGATCCGAGCCAGCTGCGGCATGTGAAGATATAGGAATAGTGACGATAAGTCGACTGTCAGTTGCTGCACAACGTCCAAAGACGAATGGGGAAAACGGCCCATGCCGCGAAGATTTGCAGTAAAGAGCAAAAACAAGAGGACGCGGACCCCAGAATATAAGGCTTCATTAAAAGCAAAAAATCAAGCATACAAAAGGTGGGAGTGGATGGTAAATATAGGTATATGTCAGGTCTTCTTCCTTTCGTGCAGAAGGACACCGTCCTTTTGAAGGGCCTCGCGGATGCGGTCGAATACGTCCTCCTTATCCCAGAAGTCCTCCAACTTTAAAGCCATGCCCTTAGAAATAACCCTTGATGGGGGTATTTCGGCCGAAATTAAGCACTTACTTTGACATGACCGAGCCTTCATCTTTAGGATTAAACAAATTATGTAGATCGTCATCGTCAAATTTACTTAAAAATGAACTAAAAAGTGACAGGAAAAAGTCAACAAACACTCTTCCGAAATCCTCAGGGTATATTAGATTACGGACGTGCTGATCTGGCAGTGGCCTTTCATAATTCGGTTCGACACTAGGGGGAAAAGCTCGATACACATCGAACCAGAGCGGGCGATCAGAATTTTTGATGCCATTGTTTTTCAAAAGACCATCAACTCTGTGAGGAATAAATTTTTATGGTTATAGGAAAAAAACCTGCGAAAAATGCTGGAAACTTTATGAGCGCGACTACCGTACGACATCTTTGGGGGGGACGCCACTCAGCAGGCATAAACGCCTAGTCCCTAGGATGACCTTTAAAATTGCGCGTACCCTTCAACTGAAAAATTCAAGGTTTTGCATTTGTCAAGGCCTCCGGTCCAGTGGGCACCAGATTGTAAGAACCGGAAAGGCAAGCTTGCTTAAAAGAGGGAGAAAAACGGGCGAGCGGGAAAAATGAGGCGGGAATTTTTGTACCGTGGTTTGAGTGTGTGTCTTCTTTCTGACGTTTCAGGTGAGGACAGCGGACTAGAGCAAGAAACCGTCCAAAACCCTGTGGATATCGTACCTCCAAAACCACCTCCCTCACCAGCAAGTGTCTTCTGTTTCCCACTTTGCCCCATGGGATTTTCTGCGCCTCTGACCGTCCTTGTTCTTCGTTTTCATACCTCCTCTTCTCCCAATATATTGTTTAGCTGTAGCGTCTTATTTGACTGCTCGGATCGCACGCGTAAGTTGAGATATTGTCTGGTCGCCTGATGCCAAAATCTAAGTCCAACCATTCAGGAGGGGGGAAGCGGCCCCATCCCCATCTCATTCAATCGAGCCAGTCGACGTTAATCAGGAACCAGTCCCCCAGCTGAAACCCCAGGACGATCCGCCAACTACAGTGATGGCAGCGCAACTACCGTTCCAACAACCCCTACAAATGTCTGGAAACAAAATAAACATATCGCGTGCTGTCGGGATACCACAATATGATGGTGCGTAGTCTTTTACGGTGTGGCTCAGACGCGCAAAGTTCTATTTGCGGCAGGTCTCAGAGGCCGACAGACCCTGGACACTACTTAAGGCCCTCGCGCCTAAACAATTAGATGAAGCGCTTGACGCTGGTCCTGACGCTGATTTACCCTTTGACGCGCTTTGCCAACGCCTGGCCAACTTATTCAGCCAAACGTACTCTTTCGGCGACGCGATAGAACAATTACATTAGCGACGATTGAAACAGGATGAAACTCTAAACCAGCTGGTGCAGGATCTGGAACGCCTAATAACTGTAGCATTTCCCTCTTTGGGCTCCGCGAATAAAGACAACATAGTACTTTATTATTTTATTAAAGCACTACCGTCGTCCGACCTTTCACGCTCACTGTTGTTACAGCCCCCGGACGATTTACAAGATGCCGTCACCAGGGCCGAACGCTACCTGCGATTGTGCTCCTCAACCTCCCGTCCCCTTCCTCGTGAAGACGCGCACGATCGGGATGCCCACCCTACATTCGCAGGACGAGGTACCTTTTATCCTTCACGACATTTTAGAGGCCCAACTCGCCCACCCTTCAATCGTCGAGGCGAACCGTTCCGTCGGCCAGGTAGACAACTGTTTCCTCACAACCACGTCTGCTCCTGTCAGAGGAAAACGGGTACTGTCTCTATTACTTCTTGCACCAGCTCTACTTTATCAGTTACCCCTTTTCATGCCAAAGTAATCGTAGCTGGTCAGACTGTACGGGCGTTGATTGATAGGGGAGCGACGGTATCCCCAGTTAACCCACGAATCTTGCAACCAGGTATCCACCGCCAGCGTAATGACACCCTCCACCCAGGGAGATTGACCACGGCCGACGGATCACGTTTAATACACCACGGGACCGTGACACTCCCCTATTTCACAGCCGAACACACCTTTATCATAACACCCCATCTCACGTGGGACATACTCCTCGGGACCGATTTTCTTGCGCGTTACGAATGCCACATCGATGTACGGAATAGGAGAGTTGAATTCCAACAAACCGACGCGGAAGGCCCGACTAGGATGACCTTTAAAATTGCGCGTACCATTCAACTGAAAAATCCAAGGTTTTGCATTTGTCAAGGCCTCCGGTCCATCGGGCGACAGATAATCTGACTTAATTCATAGCCTGCAGGAGAAACGTCTGTCTCGGACCCTTCGTTGTCTTTCCAAATACTGGCGAACGCACCCGGTAGTAACAGTCCACCGACAACAGTTTTTTCGTGATCAGCATATCGAACGAAAGTCCATTTTGTTCGGTTAATCAATGTCGAGTATAAACTGAATGTTCAAAATCTTCCAGAAACAGGTAAGGTGTGAGGTAGAGCGTTACGCACAAGCCTTTTCCAAAATTTAACTAGCGACGTACATGTAGTGAGTGTTCCCGGAATAGCACAAAATCACAGCCCAGTGGTTCCTTAAAAGGTAAACGGAGAGGCACCGGTGGGAGTAATGTGTGATGGGCAGGAATTAGTTGGTGTTCAGAGGTCTTGATGCGTGGCCAACTCTGGAGCCGCGCGAGTGCCTCTCCACTCATTTGTGTTCGCGTGAAACAGTAAGCGTCATGTGAGTGTCAACCACCGTCGGTTTAGTCATTAAGTTGCGTGATAGTGATGTTTTTAGACGCCTGTGATTAGCTGCCACTGGGGTTGTAGGTGCGCAGGTATTGGCAACCCGTTAGCCATGCAGGCGTGCAGGTGATTCCGTCGCTACGAACGCAGTACATATATTTTCATCCAATCCATTCAATTTGCGTTTGTTATTTGCCCTCGTCCCTCGTGACCCAACATTTAATGAATGCGTAATTTACCCTGAGGACCGCCAAATTCGAAAACTTCTCCTAAGCAAATGTAAGTGTGGTATGTACATGGCTTGGATGTAGTCTATAACCGATCGCTAAACCCACGTATCCAGGAATATTTCAAAGGTATAGCCGGGTTCCTCGACTATAGAACGACTTTGTGGCCTACAGAGCACGAGCAGTTAAAAAATTATGGAATCCTCCTATTAATCGATAGGGTTGTTTGTTAGATTTTATGGCGCCGTTCTCTAAAACAACCAGGTTTGCTTTCCAATTGCATTGTGAACCCAAAATCAGCGTCAAATGAGCTTGCGTCATCGTGCGCAGTCTACCTCGCAAAGACCTTTGCATTTCGATTAATGACTTAATTAATCATCTCCGAACCAGCATGACCTCGTTTACAACGAAATAGGTGTCACAGTCTCCTAAGAAGAGGGAGAGCAGCCTTTGGGTCAAAAATAGAGAAATACCGAAAAATGGGGCAAAACGTAATCGGGACTCCATTCCTTGTCCCAAGAAGTACCAGGAAAATAAGATAACCGATAACTCGGATAAAACGAAGCTTTTTTCCGACTTCTTCATGTCCGTGTATACCGAGGAGCCACCTTTTGATAAGAAAGTACACCGGCAAAGTGCCCCACCTGAAAATAAAATTAACAAAGTGACTTTCACAACGGACGCAGTAAGGAAATCGCTGAAACGGCTGCGGCCCACTACATCGTGGGGTTCGTATGGTACATCCGCAAAAGTTCTCTATGAACTTGCAGAACAACTAGCCTCCCCATTCTCCAAGAGCTTCGAAAGTTCCATAGAAGCAGGGGCTATGCCTACTGACTGGAAGCTAGCCAACATCAGTCCCACGTATATAAGGGGGAAAGAACCTCGCCAAACAGCTTTAGACCAGTGCATCTCCCAAGCTTTTTTGTAAAATAATAACGAGAATATTGAAAAGGGAGCTTATGAGACATATTGAGGAGAAAGGCTTGCTTAGTGAGCATCAACATGGACGTAGAGGTGGTCGATCCTGTCTCACTAACCCGCTCACATCAGTGGAAAGCTAGGCGACATCTCTAGAGATAAGTTTGCTAACAGATGCACTGTACATTCACTTCATCAAAGCCTTCGACAGGGCGCCATACGGACGGCCCATGTCTAAATTGCGCTATATGGGACTGAGTGGCAATCTTCTCAAGCGGTTGGCCGACTTCATCCCAGGCCGACGTCAGCTAGTGTGCATTGGCGATGCCAAATCGGAGTGGGAAACCTTTCACAGCGGTGTTCCGCGTGGGAGCGTCCTGGGTCCTATTCTGTTCTTGATATATGTGAATGATTGCCTAGAGTTTATAAACCGCGAGATGGTAATGTCCGCTGATTATATGAAGACATGAAGTTCGACCGAAAACCCAGAAGACGCACAAAACTAGCAAAAAAATTAGATCGACTGCAACAGTGGTGTGACGAATGGCTTTTTGACCTCAATCTCAACAAATGTCATTTTATCAGACCAAGATCCAGCAACAGAAAGGCTTGAGAATATGATTATCACTATTTCCTCCGCAGTCACGAACTTGAACTTTTAAATGAGGTAAAGGACGTTGGTAAGTGGATGACTTCCACTTTCAAGCACTCGTCTCACTGCACCAAGATAGCAAAGAAGGCTATGGGCATCCTGGGAGCGGTCAAGAGATTCTTCCTTAACTTCGACAAAGAGCTTTTCGGTCGAATGCTACGAATATTTATCCGACCGATTTTGGAATTTGGTATTCGGACATGGCGCCCCGGCGCGCAGCACGATTTTGAAAAGATAAGTGAAAGTTATATTTTTGGATTCAATTTCTTAATCCCTTGCACAGTTTTCCAGTGTAGACCTGACGAAATTTTCTATTTTTTGTCATAAGTCTTCTTCGCTTCCTGTCGTGTTTCTGCGATTTGTCATAAAGCAGAAATCTATTGTCGCAGTTTTTCACCCAACATAGCCTCAATCCTATCAAGTCTTACCTGCATATACAAAAGGTTTTCCTCGTAAAAATATAGATTAACATTATATTTTAAACGATAAACCGTCTCCACTAACGGCTTTCATCGTCAGGTTATTGAGAATTATACTGTTATCTATTTTATCCTACATAGCCTCATTATCCAATTCAGATTTATTCATAGTTCTGTTTTACCACCTACGAAATTGTCATTTGCCCGTTTTTTTCTAGTTTGCATTCTGGTATTGAGTAAAACCTGCTTAGTATAAATTGTGCTGTCTGGTCCACCAATATTTGCAGCTTTCATAAATCGTTTCATCATACGTAGCCTCATCCATATATCCTCGAAGTTTCGGCAGTTATCATCCATATAAATATTTGGACTTAAGTCTTGTATTGCGTTTTCGGCATGAAACCTCAAGTAACCCTTCGTCGAAATCTGAAGGAAACTAAACTTCATCTGAAACCCAG